CAGCTGAGTCGCTCCATTTGACTTTATCCCCATGGTTGTTCCATCAATGGGGAGCAGACATCCTAGGACCATTCCCAGTTGCTCCAGGACAACTCAAGTTCCTAATCGTTGTAGTTGACTATTTCAAAAAATGGGTGGAAGCCGATGTTGTTGCTCGGATCTGTGCCGAGAGGGTTCACAAATTTTATTGGAGGAATATCATATGTTGGTTCGGTTTGCCGGGAATCATAGTCTTGGACAATGGAGCCCAATTTGCAAGCACTTTCGTCATATACTTTTACAGGGATTATGGAATAAAAAATAGGTTCACATTTATGGAACACCCCCAAACCAATGGTCAAGCAGAAGCTGCAAACAAGGTTATTCTAGGAGGAATAAAAAAGAAGATGGAAGAGGCAAAAGGAATGTGGGCCTAGTACTTACCTGAGATCTTGTGGTCATACCATACAACACCATATTCTACTAATCAAGAGACACCCTTCAGGATGGTGTATGGAGCTGATGCAATGATACTGATGGAAAATAACACCCTGACTTGGAGGCATGAACACTTTGATGAAGTCACTAACATGGATAACTTGAACATCTCGATTGATCTAATAAATGAGGTTATAGAGACAACACGGGTCAGAGAAGTCACTGTAAAACAGAGGTTGGCAAGAAGATACAACCTAAAAGTCCGGAAGAGGGAGTTCTAGTAAGATGACATGGTCTTGAAGAAAATCACAGACCCAAAAAAACAAGGGAAAGCTTGCCCCCAACTAGGAAGGCTCATTCGGGGTACTTCAAAAACAAAACAACGAATCCTACAAGCTGGAAACATTAGAGGGAGTATAAATACCCAGGACATGGAACGTATCCAATCTTAGGCTATATTTCAGCTAAATATTATGTAATTCAATAATGAATAAAGGATCCGAGTTGTACTTTTTTCCCTTGCAAGGGCAAGGGTTTTTAACGAGGCACCTAGACTTAAATTTTTTTATGTCTTGTTTATAGGTATTCGGCTGAAGATGGTGAGTTATAACTCGGAAAACTTCTATAAACGTGTTGAATTGCTCCACGTTCATAGGTCGCCCATAAACGCCATGTGTGTAAGGGTTGATTAAACTCCTATAAACGTGTTAACTTGCTTCGCGTACATAGGTCGCCCATAAACGCTCTGCGTACAAGGGTTGATTAATCTCCTATAAACATGTTGACTTGCTCCACGTACATAGGTTTCCCATAAACATTCCGCGTACAAGGGTTGATTAAACTCTTATAAATGTGTTGACTTGCTCCGCGTACATAGGTCACCCATAAACGCTCCGCATACAAGGGTTGATTAAACTTCTATAAACGTGTTGACTTGCTCCGCGTAGATAGGTTGCCCATAAACGCTTCACGTACAAGGGTTGATTAAATTCCTATAAACGTGTTGACTTGCTTTACGTACATAGGTCGCCCATAAACGCTCCGTGTACAAGGGTTGATTAAACTCCTATGAACGTGTTGACTTGCTCCGCGTATATAGGTCTCCCATAAACGCCTCACGTACAAGGGTTAATTAAACTCCTATAAACGTGTTGACTTGCTCCACGTATATAGGTCACCCACAAACGCTCCACGTAGAAGGGTTGATTAAACCCCTATAAACGTGTTGACTTGCTCCGCGTACATAGGTCGCCCATAAACGCTTCATGTACACAGGTTAAACAAACACTTATAAGCATGTCAGCTTGTTCCGCGTACACAATCCGGATAGTCAATTACGAGAATGATGAAATACCCAAGCCTAAGCACACCAAATAAAACTTGGGGCTTGTAAGTATCAAAATCACACATGACCAACTGCCAAAGGCTTATAAAGAACTCGAAGCAAGTCTCGGACAAAAGGACACCTAAGTCAACATCATAATCAGCACCTAAGACTATAAGAGTTATGGACTCTCTAAAGTGTCAAAGCTATATAGCTTAGGGCTTTAATAAAAGATAGCCGGGAAACGAGCTACCCAAAAAGTCTTAGGAATCTAACTAAGCAAAGCAAAAAGGAAAAATAATTTCCGACACTTTATAATCGGACACCTTAAGTTATTTTAACTTAGTGCCTAAGGGGCTAGATATACGCACATGATTATTTTGTAAAGGAGTTAAAATAATGATAAACAGAAAAGACATTAAGAAAAGACACAAAAGAGCCAAGTATTGTGCATTACAAAGCCCGAAGGCTGAAAAGTCATAAGAAAAAGGGGGGACAACACCATGACCCCTTACAAAAACATAAAATTCATCAAAAGCATATCTAAAAGAACGTCTAATCAAAACAAGGAAAAACTTCAAAATCAATAAGCAACGGAGGTGTTATTCGCGTCAGCGTCATCCGGGTGTTCATCCCTATTATTATTGGCATGAGTAGAATATTTCTCCGGGTTCTTATCCATTTCTACAAGGCGTCCATCCTGCACCACCTTGAAATAATCCAACTCGGATAAATCCAGCCCGGGATGGAGGCATAAAACTTGGTCTTTGGCCCTGTTGAAAGCCTCGTCACCAGCCGAGAGAAATTCAATCTGAGCCTTCTTAAGGGACTTAGTAAGCTCAGTATTGGAAGCTAAAAGTTCTTGATGAGAAGCCTTGATTTGCTCCAACTCCTCGGTAACCTTTGATAAAGTCAATTTATGCTCGGATTCAAGGGCCTCCTTGTTTTTCCTCTCGCCGACTAGTTCTTTTCCAAGCTAGAAAGCTTATCTGACCGAGCCCTATGAGCTTCTTGTAGTCGGGTAATCTCTTCTTTCAGTTTCAGCTTTGTCTTCTTAAAATCATCGTTGGATTCAAATAACCCGCGAGTAAGGATTGTGCGCCTCATAAGATAGGAGCTTATATTCTGGGTGATCTTCTGCCTACCAATGGATTTCACTTTGTTAACGTCCTCGGTGGTGTTAAGATGGTCATACAGAAATTTAAGTCCATCAAAGCTGTTGGACCAAAATTTAAACTCCCCAAACGCAGAAGTTTCCCCGGGGACTCTCATAAGAGAAGTAATCTCCATCAGCTTGACAGACTTCGTCAGCCATTAAGGTTTTCAGCTTCTTCAGAGCAACCTGTGAAACCTCTTCTTAAGTTTGAGGAGCATTCAGTTGAATGTCACCCTTACTTGGAGGAGCCTTAGTATTTGTACTCCTTATTTGCTTTGGTTGACGGACTTCTAACCTGCTCGGGTACGACTTCGGCAATATAGAGTTCTCGGCTCCCTTTCGGGATGCTCGAGCTTTCTGCATTAACTTCTTTTGTTCAGCTATGGATAGACTCGTCATCGAAGTCTCTACAAAACCTAAGGAAGATGAATCAAGGTCAAAATCACTTTTAGAAGTGAGAATATCACCATAAATTTCATTTATAACCCGTTTATACTTTTCTGGTCCTAAAGCATCTTCCATTTTCCGCGTGCATTGCTCCAACAACTCCTTTCTCTCCACGAGATGGTCATTCCTTCTAAAAAAGCAAGTAGAAGAATAAGATAAATCAAGAAGGGTAAGGAAATACTTGTGATTAATGATAAGCTCAAAATTGAAATAGGAGTTTAATCGTTAAAAAAGATGATTCAGAGCCGAAATGAGACGAGCGAGAGAGGAAAGAAAGGCTTTTAAAGAACTCAGCACCCAAGGATAGCTAGGGAGTAGCCATTAGCAGTCATCATTACACTGGAGGAAATGAAAGGACGCGACCCTCCAAGGAATTCATGACATGTAAAGACCTGAGAAGAAAAGCCGGCCTATAGTACGACATCAGTCAAATATATTCGGGCTCATGTTACTGCCGAGTATTCTACCCTTCTAAATCGATATAGTACTCGGGAAGCTTATGTACATGCCAAATATATTTTAAGCCGAGTTGTGTAGCCGGACAAGGTTAAGCATGAACTAGATTATGATAGTAAGAAAGGTCGAGCAATGCTATAACCCGGACCTGTCACATTACCCGACTCCCATTAGAAAAGCTCCTACGGAATCGAGTACATACCCCATCAACCCAATACTTACGCAGGACATGAGCTCAATCAGCATATCAACAGTTGTAACGGTGGTGGCGCATCAATACGGATGTTACCAGAGCTTCAAAGCCTACATTCATGAAGGAGAGTTACAACAATGATGGCCATGTAACGTCAAAAGGTTAAAAGACTTCTCTTAATGACATATCTTAATGGAAGACTATAAAAGAGGCTCCCACATGAGGGTTAAGCAAGACACAATCATCTTGAGACAATACACAACACAAATGTAGCTCTCAAATCCTCAAATATCCCTCACGATATAGACAACGTAGTTCTTCTTATCCAGGACAAAGAGAATTAGCACTTTTAGTGTATCTAACTATTTTTGGTTAAAACAAATATAAAAAAATATTAAATAAATATTCAATTATATTATTTTAAAATGTTAAATCATAATAGTATTTTAAAAATAAAAATAAATATTTTAGGTGTATATTCATTTTTCTCTAATATTATTTCAATAGAACTTGCCCCTTTTAATAGGAATTAAATCTCAAATACATGTTTGTAACAAAAAAGAAACTCAAATACATGTGGCACGAGAAGAGATGGATCTCCATGAAACACAATGGTTCTCCATAACATGAAAGCACGTAACTCAAAAGTTGTGCGCCCCACGCGAAATAGAGTAACAGCGAGAAAGGGTCCCTCGCGTTCCAATTTTTCAGCCTTCCACAAAAGCTCTTTCTGACTCCAACAACAACGATCATCATCATCACCATTGCAAAATTCTCATCCATCTTCATCATCACAATTCCCCTCTCTTTCTTCAAACGACATCGTATCATCCAATCCTCCTTCTTCCTTATCATAACTACCATTTCCTCATCCTTATCATAACCACCATTTCCTCATAACGACGCTCTTATAATAGCTTTGAGATTTGAATCGGCGATCATCGCTACGATCATTATTGCAACGAGAACAAAGACGTTGTAACGACGTCGTATACGTTTTCGTCGCAATGCCAATCACACCGTGCGACAACCAGATTCCTCTCCCGTCTCCGATTCCAACCGGAAGAGGATCGCGCTCCGCCGCTAACGAGATCTTCAGCCAGTTCCTTGAAAAGAAACTCCACTTACCGGAACTTACACTACCGGAACTTCATCCATCAACATCACCGGCTGAAATTGACCTCTGGTCTCTCCCTCTTGCCTCCGCTCCTCTGCTTCTACGCTCCGCTAAGGAATTCGGCGTGTTCCGGATAAGGAGCCACGGAATCTCTAGCTACGATCTTGAAACTATAGCGACGGAAGCCGAACTCGTTTTCAAAGACTATAAAAAGGTCTACGTTGAGCGTAATGGACGCTGCGGAGGGATGATTCCATTTGTTCGATCCAGCAATGGAGAACTGAAATTCACAGCTCATAACCAAACGCATCGGAAATTTTGGTATACATGCAATTTTTTGTTTCTCTCATAATATGCAGATTTTTGTATTTGATTTTTCAAAAGTATGAGAAGGTGCTGATACTGACAGTATTATTTACAGTTTTGTGATTAAAGATAAATTGTAGTTAATTCAAATTGCAAAGATGACTGAAATCAATGTTGCAACCCTGCTCAGACTGAATTGAAATGGCGAAAGTCTTTATCCCTGACGACACCACCATGACTGTTAAAACCTTGTTGGGATGCCATTTGTTGAATGTTAAACTTTGTGCGCTTACAGTACTACTTTAAACTATATAATATATTGCCAAAAATCAAATAACCAACTAATATGTTGCCGATATCTTACCTAAAAAAGTCCCATGATTTTTAATAAAGTGGAATTACTTTTTTTCGATGATGTAACTGGATTATTGATCCTGCATAGTGCATGTTTAGAATCGATGAAACCACAATGGCATTGTGGTATTATTGAAATTGACTCCTTTGCAGTCTGCATTCGGGTTATTAATGACAATTTGATTAAAATCTGATGGTTTAGTAAAATACATATTTTAATTTTTGTTTTTCAATATCAAATATCAAACTTAATGTAAACCGTCCGATCTTGATCTAACAGTCATTAGTAGTCCGAATGCTTGAATGTGTGGTTTGCTGACTGCATGTAAACTCGGTCCTCTATTATTGAAGCTTTAAAGGATATAGTTCATCAAAACATGCACATGATGAGTTGTTTGATTGTTTTGAGGTTTAAGTTTTACCCTTCAGCATGTATATAGCTCTGATCATAGAAATAGACAATTGGTCATATACATTGTCATGCATCTCCAATGGAGACAACAATGTGCTAACTTGTTTTTGTTACACAAGCAGGGTTCATATGGGGTACGTAGCAAGTATATTGGATACTATAGTGGATCAAGTGACTCTGGCTCTAAAACAGAACGCATCACAAGATTTTAAGGAGCGGATTCAAGAGACAGAGTCTGCAATTTGTCTTTGCAGGTATCCCCATGACAGTACCCCCAAACGAAATGACAGTGTCTCGGATAAGACAAAGGGCGTGTTATGTGAACATGCTTTGCGCTTCTACCTTCCCATGGAGCACTGCATATTTTACGTCCAAACTGAAAGAGGTCCTCTGTCTTTTGATGCAGGTCCAGAGCATGTAGTTGTCATTGTTGGCAAGCAACTAGAGGTAATTAATTTCATCCTTTGTTTACGAGTATCTTAATGAATTGGACACTTTTATACTCGGAGCGTAAGTTATATATGCAGCAAGTGTTGTATGATTGGACTAGAAATTAGAATCATGTGGTTCTCACAATCTTAGAGAAGTAGATGAAAAAAGAGTATTAAAGAATGCTATTAGCATTGCTCTTGATAATATTTACTCACGAACCAGGTTTCACAATCTGAATGTCTTTTATTTGATCTTTAGTAAGCCCAAAATATCAAATATGATACCAGGATAAGTAAAGACCAGAAACTAACCAAGAATCTCACTTATGAATGTAGGAATGGAGCAACGGTGTATTCAAATGTGTTCCGGGGGAAATGATTTTCATGCCGAGTTTCCATAGTAACAATGCCTCTTTCTCCGTAGAGCTTACATGCTTGGCCTCTTCAAATCTAAATCTCATATTCAACAATTTTGACAAGATAATATCCTTAAACGATCAAATTCTTATTGTATTATGTCTCGTGTTTTTATACAAATTTCTATACTTCATCTTTTCCTGATCCTCGGAACATGGTTGTACCTGTTTTGTTTGGGTGTCTTTTGCGTGGTCGTGACTCAATATGTTGTTCTACCTAATTCTGCTATACAATTTTGTTGTACAGTTTTAGTGTGAAGGTTGTGAATTTTTGTTTAAATTAGAAAAAAATGGTGTACGCATACATATTGAACTTCACAAAAGCATACATATGGTAATTCCTGTATTCTTTCGTGCATATGATCTTGATGAATGAGATATCCGAAGGAATTTGAGGAGATTCAATATTCAAATTACTGTTTTGTTAACAGTAAAAACATTATAAATAGATTTGTCTATATATGTTGAGGGATACAAATAGCCAAATAAACAAAAGCTTGAACAACAATACACTTCCACAAATATCTAAAACCGAACACCCAAATTAATTTTTTCAGCATGTGACCATTGATAAAAGAGCATTGTTTGTTAGAATGATATTTTATACTCTCGAAAAAGTTTACTATTGAGATCATGTTTAGATTAACATATAGTTAAAATACATTTATTTTTTAATGAACTTAAAACAATTTTTTTGATTAAAGATCAGAGGTTGTATTATTAAATAGAATATTTTACAAATTTGTTTACCCTTCTATTTGTTACTAGTTTAGTTTACAAATAATATATATTTCTATCTATTGACTATTCTAGACATTTTAAAAAGAGAGATTTACGCACTTCTGTCTATTATATACATTTATCATTATGGCTCTGTCAATTTACTTCGACATTTCTCTAGAACTTTCTCTAGACTATACCACTAAAACCAAAATGTATAACAATTTATTTGTCTAATTAATTAAATCATATTTATAATCCAACACTCCCTTTAACACTTGATTTGTCATTCCAAGCAAGCCCTTTAAATTGATATAGCCTTCATTCATGCTTGGGTTGTTTGATGAAGTTGTCATCTACTTGATCTTAGAGACTTCATATATTAAACCTGCATATCCTTTCTACCTACTCACTCCCTTATATAGTAATAATGTGTATCAATATGTTTGCTATGATCATGAAAAATATGATTCTTACGTGACTTGCTATCCACACAAATCTTGGTCGGTTCCTCTTGTTACATTCCCAATTCCTTCAAAAAAATTCCTAAGCCACGCGACGTAAAAGACACATGATGTAGTTGTTAGGTATTCTATCTCACTAGTTAAAAATGAGACAATTGATCGCTTCTTCAACATAAAACTGCTAGTACTATTCTGATCATCTCTATCTTTAACTCAATGTCCTTATTTGACGAGAACTGTTGTGAATAGGATACCGTTAAACAAAGTATACACGGTTTCTTATCAAGAAACACACAAGGGTTAGGGTTAATAAAGAAAAAAGCAACAAGGAACAACAAGGATTGGTTATTAAACTACTATTCTTTCTTTTCTCTTAGAATAAGATTACAAGTATACAAGAATAACAAAATAACCTCTCTCCCTTGAAATTAGGATTTTATCTTCCTATTTTTCCTTATTCTCAAGATTGAGAAACTAGCATCCTATTTATAATAAAATAGCATACTAACCTAATGGGCTTTTTAACAATTACCCATTACAAGCTAACTTAGGGTACAAGCTAACTTAAACAATTGGGCTTACAAGCAAGACCCAATTCAACATGCTAACAACCCTAGCAATATTTACTCATGCTAACAACCTTAGCAATATTTACTCATGCTAACAACCTTAGCAATATTTACTCATGCTAACAACCTTAGCAATATTTACTCATGCTAACAACCTTAGCAATATTTACTCATGCTAACAACCTTAGCAATATTTACTCATGCATGTTAGAACAAACTTCGACTACAACACGCATTACTTGCGAACAGACTTCGACCACACTAGAGTTCGATCCAATGTCTCACAAATCTCCACCTTGGATCTAACTCTATAACATCAAGAAACTAGCTTTCTTCATGCAAATTTATTAACTGCATACAGTGGAAAAACTTGCAACTGGGCAATGTCTTGGTGATCATATCAGCAGCATTATGATCTGTCGAAACTTTCAGCACTTGGACTTCTCCACGCTCGATTACCCCTCTGATGAAATGCAGCCTCACATCAATGTGCTTGGTTCGCTCATGATAGGCTGAATTCTTCGACAGGTGTATTGCACTTTGACTATCACATTTAACAGTGATAACTCGACCTTGAAGTTTTAGCTCCTTTGCAAAACCTTCAAGCCACAATGCTTCCTTCACAGCTTCAGTTAGGGCAATATACTCCGCTTCAGTGGTTGATAGGGCAACGACCTTCTGAAGTGTTGCTTTCTAACTGATTGTTGTCCCAAACATAGTGAACACATATCCAGAGATAGATTTTCTGGAATCCATACAACCTGCATAATCATAGTCGACATATCCATCAATTGCTGCTTTACTATCTTCACCTAAGGCTCCACCATAAATTTGGACTCTATTTAGAGACCCATTTATGTACCTTAAAATCCACTTCAATGCTTGCCAGTGAGCCTTTCCAGGATTCGCCGTGTACTTGCTTACAAGACTTACTGCATATGCTATGTCGGGTCTAGTACAGACCATAGCATACATCAAAGACCAATTTGTCTTCTTTTGATTCCTCATAACTTCCTTATAGTCTCTAGGTTCTTCGTCTAGAACCTCACTTGCAGAGATTAAGGCATAAGCTATAAGATCTGCATACCCAAGTCTCTGAGGTGGCTTGATGACTCTCCTCGACCTGTCTCTTGCTAGCAGGTAGTCATTATCAGTCTCCTCATCTTCGACAACATCTTCTGTGTCTTCTTCGACTTCATTTGGGGTAAGCAATTCAGCATCAACATGCTCCACCTCAACAAGAATCTCTCCCTGTTCCAGCTCTTCGTCAGCATCATCAGTTTTCTTGAAAGCCATCTCTGCTTCGTTGAAAACTACATCTCGACTGGTGATACACCTTCTGTGACCTAGCTCTAGGCACCATAGCCTATAAGCTTTGACTCCTTCAGGGTATCCCATGAACATGCATTTCAGGGCTCTAGGTTCGACCTTGTCTTGCCTAATATGAGCATAGGCCACACAACCAAATACTCTCAGTCTGTCGAGACTAGGTGGATGTCCCGACCAAACTTCTTCAGGTGTCTTCATTCCCAAGGCAGTCGAGGGACATCTATTTATCAGGTAAGCTGCTGTCGAAACAGCTTCCGCCCAAAACACCTTCTTCAATCCAGCACTAACCAACATGCATCTAACCCTTTCAAGGATTGTTCGATTGAATCTCTCAGCTAAGCCATTTTGTTGAGGAGTACCTGCTACAGTCTTATGCCTTGCAATCCCAGACCCAACACAGTAACTGTCGAAAGCTTCGTTGCAGAATTCAAGGCCATTGTCAGTTCTCAACCTCTTAACCTTTCTGCCAGTCTGAGTTTCAACTAGAATCTTCCAACTTTTGAAATTCTCAAAAGTTTCATCCTTCGTCTTCTGAATGAATACCTATAGTTTTCTGGAATATTCATCAAAGATGGATAGAAAATACCTTGCACCTGAGTGTGAAGGATTCCTTGTAGGCCCCCAAAGATCAGCATGAATGTAATCCAGGGATCCATGTGTTCTTTGCTTGCCTTTGTTAAACTTTGCCCTACAGGATTTACCAAATACACAAGATTCACAAAATTCCAGCTTTTCGACTTTGTCACCTCCTAGCAGGTTCTGCTTCCCCAATTCGATCAGGCCTCTTTCGCTGACATGGCCCAATCTCATGTACCATAATTTTGTCTTCGACATAAGTTTCGTGGATGCAACATTTGTCGAACCACTTACAACCTCAGCCTCAAGGGTATACAAGCCTTGTTTCTTCACTCCTCTCAAGACTTCCTTCGACCCCTTCATGACTCTTAGGATACTTTTCTCTCCTTGAAAAACATATCCTTTTCTGTCGAATTCACCAAGAGAAATCAAATTTCTCTTCAAGTCAGGTACGTACCTGACTTCAGTCAATAACCTTATTGACTCATCATGGAGCTTGAATCTCATAGATCCAATACCTGCAATTTTGCAAGATTTGTTGTTTCCTAACAACACAGATCCACCATCTTGATCACATAGCTCCTCGAACAATTCTCTGTTTGGAGTCATGTGTCAAGTGCAACCTGAATCCATAATCCACTATTTCCTCGAGTCGGCACTTGAAACCACAAGAACATCAGATGAGTCGAAGTCATCTTGAACAATGGCTGCATTGCCATTACCTCCATGATCTTTCAGGCGTTCAGGGCACAACTTTCTTATGTGACCCTCCTTCTTACAGTGGTAACATCGAATACTAGATGTTTCGCCACTATAAGACTTCTGTTGACTTTTACCTTTTTTCTTGTCGAACTTACCATCCTTTCGCAAGAATTTTCCCTTAACGGCCAAACCTTCGTCCACCGTCGAAGGTTTATGCTCCTTTCGTTTGTTCAAGTCCTTAGAATACAAGGCTGATTGAACTTCTTCAAAGGTCAGGGACTGCCTTCCATACAAGAGAGTTTCTTTGAAGTGAGCATGTGTTCTGGGCAAAGCACACAGCAGCAATAGTGCTTGATCTTCATCATCGATCTTCACATCAATATTTTCAAGATCAAGAATCAGCTTGTTGAACATATCCAACTGCTCAGCCAACACTTTGTCTTCACTCATCTTGAATGAATATAAAGCTTGCTTCAGGTATAGTCGATTCACCAGAGATTTGGTCATGTATAAACTTTCAAGTTTCACCCATAATCCTGATGCTGTAGTCTCCTTTGATACCTGTCGAAGAACCTTATCACCAAGGCTCAATAATATTGCGCTGTGGGCTTTCTCGATCATGCTCGTCTTTTCTTTTTCCGTTAACGCAGCGTCCATGGCTGCCTCACCCTTCAACGCTTCCAAACAACCCTGCTGAACCAATAGGGCTTTCATCTTCAAGCGCCACAGACCGAAGTCGTTCACTCCGGTGAACTTTTCAATCTCATACTTTGTTGAAGGCATCT